TATAATATTTAAAAATATTAATTTATAAAATAATTTTAATTTATTAATTAATAATAAATATTAGTCTTATAAAAAATATTAATCATTTTTTTAATTATTAATTATTTTTAGCAACCAAATCAATCTAAATTGAGAAGGCTTGAGTGAAGCAAATGATTACTTCCTACGCAGAACTTCTCACTGAATTTAGTTCAAATCCTCCCCTTTTTCAACAAGTGCTCAACATGTAACTTTGTTAAAAATAATAATAATAATCAATCCAAATCAATATATTTTTAAATAAAATCATACAAATTAAATTAAATGGTGACTATAACACCACACGCAGTATTAGGGCTCTAATCATCCAAGTAGTACAGAGTGCAGATTACCCCCTTTTTTTATTAAAAAAAAAAAAGAACAAAAAGAAAAAAAAAGAAATTTCCTATACTTCTCTGAAAAAAGACCAAACTTCCAAAACCCTAAATGCCAACGCCGCAAACTTAATCTGAAATCGTCATTTCTCTTTGCACCGCCGCCGTAAATGGCTTCTTCCATGGCTCTCAGGAGGCTTGTCTTCTCAAACATCCCGCGCATCGTCCGCCCGGCAGCAATCGCTTCAACATCATCTAAGCTTCTCGCCGGCGACCACATTGATTGTCGATCTATCCACTCGCTCTCCGGCCGCCGCAATGATGTCTTCTCAGGTAGTCATTCTTCTTATTCAACCGAATTAGTAACCTATTTCACTGTTTCCTGCTACCCATTGAACCAGTTTTTGCTCCATCTGTAAGTTTTTTCTGCTCTGTTTTTGATTTAAGGTATGATGTTTCCATTTCGAAACCATCTTCAAACATATTCGAGTGGTGTCTGTTGTCAATCGGGCCAACACACAGGAAGAAGGGACTTTTCCACAGTCGGAATGCCTTCGGAAAAGCGAAATCTACGAGATCACAAACGGAGATTGCTGGCGGCCAAGTACGAATTGAGACGAAAGCTTTATAAATCCCTTTGTAGCGATCCTGATCTTCCTAGTGATATGCGGGACAGGCATCGTTTCAAGTTATCCAAGATGCCGAGAAATAGTTCCTTTGTTCGATTGAGAAATCGATGCATTTTCACTGGTCGTCCGCGTGCCGTGTATGCCAAATTTCGGATGTCTCGAATTGTTTTCCGTTCATTAGCATCTCAAGGTTCTTTGATGGGCATAAAGAAGGCGTCTTGGTAGTTCAAACTGATAGCAGAAGAAATGGCATTTCAACAACTTATGAAAGGCAGAATAAATCAACAAACTTTCAATTGCATATGTGACAGCAAAAATTTGTAGATCATTTACTTGATGTGATAATTACTGCAGTTGACAATTGTTTTAGTTGTGAACTAAGATTTTGTACTGGAAACTTGCTTTACTTGGATGCAGCCTGAGTGCAAATGATCTTTGATTGATTTCTAATATGACCCTAGATTGATCTCAATGCTGTTTGAAATTTCAAGTGAGAACTACTTAATCCGGATGCATAGGTTTTGTTCAGTGCAATGTAGGAAGTTTGAGTGATTGGGGTTTTGGTTGAATGTAACCATGATGATAAGGAGTGACTTCTTAGTTCCTGCCATTTTTGTTAATTGCAGTTGTTTTATGAATAGTAGATGTTAAGGACTTTGTTTATTTGACTTGTTGAAATTATTAGTTTTGTTCTACCTCTATGGCATTGCATTCTCCTCTGGTCTGTCTTGATCATTTTGGAAAATAGCCAAGAGAATTATTGGCAGAGAGCACCTTTATCTCTTTGAAATTATTAGTTTTGTGCTACCTTTTTGGGTGGTTTATGCTAAAATAGCACAAGTCAGCTGTGTGAATTAGTGTCTGAAAAACTGAACAATGTTAATGTCAAGGTTTTGTTGGTGGATTACTGGATTTTACTAATAAACTGGCTTCTAACTCTTTTTTTCCTGGTCTGAATTGCAATTTTTGCTTGCATTCATGTGATTTCGTAGTTCTAAATTCCTCTGACCAAAAAAAATAAAAAAATAGTTATATTGTCTTCTCGGATTTGCCTGACCTTCATTTTTCACCATGAAATTGGAGATTTCCCAGACAAGGACGTGTATTCTATTACTCTGAGAATGGGAAACAGAACACGAACGTGAGCACAAAATTCTATTACTCTGTTAAACCTCTTTTTTGGGTTGGGTTGGGTTGGGTTTTGGGGGGGTGGGGGTTTAGTTCTCTGGAGTATTGGGATTCCCAGTCCACTTCGGTACAGATAAATAAACCTGTATTTAGGAGGGGTCCAGTCGGGCAAGAAATTGGTTCAGTCATGGTTCTGTATGAATGATGGAGTGGTGCTAAATTTACATGCAGCCGTTGCTTCTTGGAGTTGTAATGTATACCACATTTTTTATGTTCAAGACTGAGAGCATCTCCTATTGTATA